CCAGCCTTGGCAGTGCGTAACTAGGAAAACAAGAGATCACTGTACACGTCGAAACGAACTTAACTCGAAAGGGACAAGATGGCAGAGCTGTAGTAAATTTTTACGAAGCGGCCCAGGAAGGCAAGGAAGAAAGATATTGTGCTAGCCCAGAAAGCTCGCATATGAGGATTCTGCTGCACAGTGCCACCGACCCTCAGCAGCGGCAGCTCCGTGGCCTTCTTGCTGGAATCCACTGCCAACTTGTACTCCGCCATGGTACAAAGCGCGATGACACTCTCTGTCCTGGAGGCTATAGCTCGAGCACCAAGAACTGTGAGCTGAAGTTCGTCCGTGTCACTGCCACAAGCCTCCGGAGTCATTCCTGTTGTCAACCGCAGAAGATATTTTAAAGCAACGACGGGCATCTATACATCTGCACATTTGCCTTATGAGACCCACAGGGTTTAGGATGACGCCAGAGGGCGCATATGAAGATTTTCCGTGTCTGTTTGCTGGTCGCACCAAGTCATGTGCTTGGGACTCGCTATGCAGAAAATGGCAGGCCCGGCGCACGGCTGTTGCCAAGTGGCGGGCTTGTCGGAACTCGCCGGTGCGTTGCACTCCATGCCAAGGCACCGGCCAACACAAAACTGGCTCGAGCAATCGAATTAGCATAATTTTTGTTCGAGGGACTGCCTCCTGGAAAGTTCACACGGAGGTCTCAGTGGCTGCAGTGGTGGCCTCGGACTCCGTGTGAGACTCGTAGTCGCCGCTGGTCTTGCCCTGCCAAGCTCAGACTTCCAACCACTGAATCACTGCGCACTCAACCCTGACAGCCCACCTACCGTTGCCCTACCGGCTTGCCAGATGAAAATAGTGCAGAACCTCCACACACCCCGAACCCACGATTGCGAAGCTTCCTAGGTATGTTGCGAGCCAATCTTCAACTCGACAGAGAACCGAAGGATCCGCTTTGGTCTTGAGGCCCTTGGCCTTCTCGACGCTCTGTGCCGGTCCGTGGAACATTCCACCCATCTCGGACCAGTAGTAGCAGGGGCTCAGCAGTGCCCAAAACATGACATAGCCCGCATGGACCTGTTCAACGAAGGCCCAGCTTAAGCGCGCTGAGTCACGATTCATGTAAGAGTCTGGGTTGAAGGGTGTCCGCGAACAGAAGGGGAGCATGGCGCTTGTGCATGAGTCCAAACTCCATTCGAGATTGCACCAGGACATAAGTGACCTTGCGTGGCGTGGCTCCGCTTACGCCACTCACATACAGGCTCAACATCTACCGGCAACCCTGGAGCACCCCTGAACCCCAAGACGAACATCAGCCTTGAATTTCGACCCTGCCTGGAAAGGCAGCAGGGCATCCTGGATCGGCTTGTAGAAGCAGAAGCCTGCAATCCTGGGCTCCAGATCTATATGTGTGATCATCCTGATCTGTATACTTTGGGGAGACGCGATTCTACATGGCAGACTTGGGCAATCAATCTTCTTGAAAGGCCTCATCTGGGAGATAGCAACATGATCAATCTCTCGGAATCAGCCGCCTCATCAGAAGGCACCCAGTCCGTTCCTTTACAAGAATGCATGCTGCCAAGTATCACTGCCCCGAGGTTGCCACCGGCACCCACAAGCGCGGACACCACTGCGAGCTGCTTCCTGATGTGTGCATGTCGCCACCTCCTACAAGAACTACTTCTACGAAGATGAATTGTTGCCAAACCCTGAACCCTAAACCATGACCGCAGGTAGCAACTACAATCGCCCACTGATCCAAGCTTCCTGTTCATGAAGGGCACGATGCCGTAGGAGGTGCCCTCAGAGGCTAGTCGGGAAGGCTTATCCCACGACAAATATGCTTTGTTGCATTTTCTTATCCTATCCTATCTTACATATATATATTTATTTATTTATGTATTTGTTGATTTGTTGTATTGTCGTACATTATATTACATCATCTTATAGCTTATTATAACAGCATACTTCACGGTTTGCTGAGCGGGGCCCGCCTCAGCCATCTGCACAAAGAGCGAGAAGCAAACCAACACTGCCAAAGCCACGTACCAAGGCTGCGAATTGTCCACCTGAGCCATCACCACCACCACCACCACCACCACCATCATCATCATGATCTGCTTGCTGGCAGGAAAAGCACCCAAGTTTTGTCTTGGGCCCAGCCTTTCCGAAGCTGAACAGGAAGATAGCTTCGAAGAAGAGTGCCAGGAACTGAGCCCAAATGCCTTGTCCCGTCGAATTACCGCAGCTTCCGCTTCTGCACTCAACAAGCACCGAGCCCTAACATGTGACCAAGTGAGTCCGAGATGCGGCCGCGGAAACCGAAGTACTTGAAGCAAATATCGCTGCTGATGCCTTCAAAGCAACAACACTAGCTTAAGAGTCGCACACGACTTGAGTTCAAAACATAGCCTCCCAGGGATCTTGCGAAGAGGTTCATCAAGCCGAAAGCACCCGCGAGGGCGCTGGCATCACCTGTCGCCCAGTCGACATTCGAGTTTTATGTCTATGCGCTCGAGGATCGGTAACGAAGTTTTCTCATCTGATGCCAGTTTACTGACCCAAACAGCACGCACCTGCATCCATCTGGAAGTACGTCCGAAAATGCGTAGCCAACTGATTGTTCATTGCCAGTTCCTCACTCAGGGCAAATTCACAACCACAAGGAGCCAACGTGTGATCCTCGTAGAACATTAAACCAGTAGGCTGTAAACACAACCACTCCTAACCGCACAATTGCAGGTGGGGAATGCTACTGATTTCCATGCTAGAACAAAGGTGTGAAATCTTGTATTCCTGACGTCTACACGGCTACAACTGCTGCACACATTTGCAAACCTTAAAGTGAGCAGACGGGGA